TAAAGTTTGAATTATCTGACTGTTTTGTTTCGCTTAATGCACCTTGTGTGTGCCTTATGGTCCAAAAAATACAGTAAAATAAAATAATCAAATGAAATATCAGACATACCTGTACTACAGGGGCACAGGCTTTTCACTGAGTTACTCAGGCATTCCCATTTGATTTTTTTGTTTTTAACTAGTTAAAAAAAATCATTTTACACACAGAAAGTGTAACAAACAATTCAAATATTTAACCAGGGTGCAGGTGGGATTAAAAAACACTTGGTTCACAGTTCCTAGTTTGGATATTTTAAAGCAAAACACACTGCAAAGACAACTGCTGGCAAAGCAAGTTGTGACTCCGCTTGGGACTCAACAGCCACTAAGGTCGATAAAGGCAAAGACATGAGGGAGCCATGTGGAGGAATCTCCAGGAGAGACAGTGGTAGAAGAAAACTTTTTAAAGATCTTATATTTATATTATATTAGCGAAATGGGGGCATTTAAGGAACCAGGAAACCACAGCAAACACCAACAATCTCCATGCATCAAAGGCAAAAAAGTTCTACCTGACATCATGTGGAGAAGTCCTGCTTCATTCAGTCTTTACAAATATCATCAGCCAATTTCTTCTCAGTGAGAGCGAGTATTTTTCAATAAGCTGTGCAAAGGTTCATCCACAACATCGCTGACATTTGTGGCGCTGTAATTTTAAACTCATAATCCCAATCAAAGTTTTTAAAAGCCACACATGCCGCACCAGCTTTAACCCTTTCTCATACCAGGTGTTTGTAAAGCATTAAGAAATTCAAAAGAAGGAATCAAAAAGTTTCAAGACTGTACCTGAATTGTACCAAAATCCACATTTTCATAGTGGAAATGAGCACACTCTGCCAGTTTTGGGAAATGGCCCTTGGTGAAGCAAAGTCTGCAAATGCAACACACACAGTTTGGTTAGCACTTCATTCTCTTCATATGGTAGCAGCTTGGAGTATGATTAGCAGAAAAAGCCGAGGGCAATGCAAACAGAGGGAGCGAAAGCACGAGGCAGGCACAGAAACAGACTCGATAAACAGCCAGTTTGGAGCGATATCAGAAATGGACAGAGGAGAAATGTGAGAGCTGTGAGTTTATGTGTCCATGTGCCCACTCACTTCTTGACATTCTTGACCTTCATGCTGGCTGTGCTGCTGCTGCATGAGCGCATGAGGGGCTCAGTCCTCAGCTCAGGGATCTCAGCACTCCTTGCCTAAAAAAACCAAAACAAAGCACACAAACGTGAGAGCTCACACTTCCAGTCTGATCCAAAGCATCGATTTAATGAGGGGAGCCAGCTAATTCATACAACTGCACATCATTCAGTTAATTAGGTTTATGTGTAGCACCAGTTTGCTTAGATCAGATCAGGCGATGACTTTCCAAAAATCCTAACAGCCTTGTGTAACCAGTGCTGCACAGCAATATGCTGTTTGACTCCATCTAATGTGTTTGGATGAGCTGAGCCCTGCTGATCCTGCTGACTGACACGTGTGCAGCTTGTTAGTCGACTGGACAACAGTATGATTCCTTTGAGAATTATTATTTTCTCCCAGCTCATCCTGGTCGTTGAATTGCTTCATATGTGCACTTTCCTTTTGCCGTTTTAAACTTCATATTTTTTATTCTCGGACTCTGGCAGAGTAATTCTGCATGATTCACAGGACACATTAATCCTTATTTATCTCAATTCACCCTCTAAAACAAGCCCCTCTTCCTGATTCGCTGCAGAAGGTTTGAACAGCAGGTGGGAGGGCTTTTCTATTCTCACAGTCAGAATAGTTTTATTAGGGATATCCCCTCACTCACATCATACAGAGCCAAGAGCAGAAAACACAAGTGTTAAAGCTGTCTGAAGTCTGAGATTACAGCTCAGAGAATACCTGTACAC